GATCCTTGTCTACACTGCCCTAAAATCACAAAGAGACAATGTCCAACCTGTTTTTCAGCTTTCCATTGTAAGTTAGAATATACATAACTTGGAGGGACCGTGAGGCCTTACAAATGATTGCATTGATGAGATTTGTTTTTTTTTAAAGATTTTATTTATCTATTTGAGAGGGAGAGGGAGAGAGAAAGAGCACGTACAAGCAGGGGGAGCAGCAGAGAGAGAGGGAGAAGCAGACTCCCCGCTGAGCAGGGAGCCCGATGCGGGGCTCGATCCTGGGACTCCGGGATCAGGATCCAAGCCGAAGGCAGACGCTTAACTGAATGAGCCACCCAGGTGCCCGCCTATAATGCTTTCTAATGATGGATCAGGTTACAAGGAATACCTTCATCCCTATAGCTTTTTCACAGGCTGAAATATTTCTTCAAGCTAAATTCCCTGATATTTTGTTCTGAAAGGTCTGATACACTGTGCCAAACTGATTTACCAGAGTTGTGCTCATTTAATTACTGATCCCAACAATGAACAGGACTAGCGAGCTAGCAGATCAAAGCCAGATGGAGGTCCTGAGGAACCTGTTAAACTCATCCATCATACTTCTGAGCGGTTCTTGTCTTTATTTTTCAAGAAAAAAAAATTTAAAACCAAGACTGACCTACCATAATAAACCACGTGGTCTTAGCCGCATTTCTGACAGGTTTCAAAGAGCTCCCGTTGACATCTGCTTGCATTTCAAGATAGAATAAAAGGCTTTCATTGATGATGTTCGGCAGCCAACTGTCAGCAAGAAAATAACCCAGGGTTATACAATTCACTTTTAAATGCTGGGGGTCAGGGAATATGTCTTCTAACACCTGCAAGTCCTGGAGGGGGATCCATATGAGCAGCAAGGAGGAACTACTGCATCCAGAATTTAAGAGATGTAACTCCTTTCCTCAAGTCTAAAGCAGAGATCAGCAAGTCTTTCCAAGGGTAACACTCAACACCACATCAGTGTTAAGGGATCTAGCAGTCTATGAAATAACCCAAAACTCATGTTTCATTTGAAGAGTAATATAACTTTTTGAGGGAGACCTCCCAAAAATCTTGCTATCTTTTGTTTAAACTTTTAATGTTATTGTTGGTAGGCCAATGAAATTTAAAACGATGAGCTGAGGGTATTTTTAGAGGGAGACAGTCTCCATCTCTCCTAGGAGAATGTCCAAACAAACCTCCTATCGGATAAATTATTATTATTATTTTTTAATTTTATTTATTTATTTATTCATGAAAGTCAGAGAGAGAGAGAGGCAGAGGCAGAGGGAGAGAAGCAGGCTCCCCGCCTAGCAGGGAGCCCGATGCGGACTCGATCCCAGGACCCTGGGATCATGACCTGAGCCGAAGGCAGAGGCTTAACCATCTGAGCCACCCAGGCGCCCCTCGGATAAATTATTAACAGCACAAAGACACATCCTGTTTTGCAAACTACTGATTCACCCTAGCAAAAGGTTTGCTGAT